CGCCCTCTCCCCCAAGCCAGCGCGCGCGCAGAACACCGGCCTAGAATCACGCCTCCCGCCTCTGTGCCGGTGTGTCCGCTTCTGCAAAATGAGCCCTGGAGTTGCTGCCTGGACTCAGCACGTCCCCTGGGCAGCGCCTGGGCACGGGGCTGGGCGTCATCGCCCCAGGCTGTGGGCCGGCGTTCCCCTCACCCACCTCGGATACTGGTCACGTGGTGTCTTTTCCAACACCAGGTCCGCAGCTGCGGCCTCAGCTGCCTCTTGTTTAACGCCCCTTCCTGTGTCAGCCGGTCCCTTAGCTCACAGGTCTGCGCTTTAATTTCGGACTCTGCTCTTTGGAGTGGCCCCCACCTAAGTGTGCTGGGCTGTGGGCAGTTCCCCAGTGCACGGGCTGCAACGTGCCTTAAGGGGACATACACGTGTTGGATGAGCTTCATTCAGACACAACTTACAGTGCTGGGGCTGTACGTTCCATGCGAATGAATCCTCAATAGCTACCACAGAAGCTGTCTTTACACTGAAAACACACGCAACTTTATGTGGTGGCGGGTTGACCGAACTGTGGCATCCGATGATTGCAGGACCCGAACCTGTGTTTCCCCAAGGGGTGCCCACTCACATAATGAAGCGAAAGCGGTGCCTTCCAGAACCACCCACGAGACTCCGCACCTTCTCAGAGGGCAGCAGGCGGTGCGTGGACTGGGCCTGGTTCCCGGGGTGGGATGTGCATGCAGACAGGCGCCCGCTCGGACTGTGCTGGCTCAGCGGGACCCAGGGCCTCCGGGGCCCACTCACCGCCTCCCTGCAGTCCCGCAAAATGAGGGCAGGCACCCTTCCCCCAGTTACCACACCCCACTCCTGTGGGAGGCCTGAGCTTCTCTGTCACCTGCCAGGTCCTCCCTCAGTGCCCCAGGCTGGCTTCTGACCTCCCACAGCCAGGCACCTTGCCCAGCCTTCCCCACCCCAGGGACAGCCTCACCTCACCCTGAACCCCCCACCCTCAGCCCAGCCTCCCAGCCCCGGCTGTAATTCACACAAGTTTACCATGTCAGCCTTTTTTTAAAAATTTGATCCTTACCTGAGGATTTTTTTTTCCCATGGATTTTTTTTTAGAGAAAGTGGATGGGGGCGGGGAAGAGACAGAGAGAGAAACATCAATGTGAGAGAAACACATCCATTGGTTGCCTCCCACATGGGCCCCAACTGGAGCCAGGGATGGAGCCTGCAACCCAGTTATGTGCCCTTGACCAGAATCGGACCAGCAGCCCTTCAGTCTGCCGCTCTAACCACTGTGCTAAATCGGCTAGGGCTGTCCTACCTATTTTTAAAGGCACAGTTCAGTGGCCTTAAGTGCGTTCCCAAGGTGTGCACACATCACCATTGCAAATTTGCAAATCTGTTTCATCTTGCAGAACAGAAACTCTACCGCCATGAAACACTGAGTCCCTCCTGCCTGCCCAGCCCCCGCGGCCAGCATTTACTGTCTGTCTGTGAATTCCTGGCCTGCAGGGGCCGCAGAGAAGTGGAGTCACCCGGGATGTGTCCTCCTGGGACTGGCTGGGTCCAGAACCAGGTCAGCGCCCAGCTGTGTGAAGGGAGAACACAGGTGTGCCTGATGGGGAAGGGGTGGGCGGAGGCGGGGAGGGGGTGTGCGTGGGGGTGGGGACGCGGCTCTGAGTCATCACACTCAGAAGGCCTCCCCATCTCAGAGCTCCCCACATGCAGACCTACCTGGATGGCTCCCAGGTCCCCGGGGCACCTGTTACACCAGGCTGCTCAGTGGGCGTTAACAGGGTCACCCCCAGGCTGTCTTGGGGACACAGGGAAGAGTTGGTCCCCTCTGTCCTTGCGAGACTGAGCCAGTGTTTGGGGCTCAGCATGATTCTGGTGGCCCAGCACCGTGTCCTGGCTTGGCCCTAACCAGCGAGGTGACTCAGGCAAGACACTTGGCAGCTCTGGGCCCCAGTCCCTTCAGCTGGGAGACGGGCATACAGCCCGGCTTCACGGGACTGGGGGGGCGGCTGGGCAGCCCTGTGCTCGGTGCCCGGCCTGGAAAGGCCCCTGACACGCACTTGCCGCCCTCGCCTCCTCCCTGGGACCATGAGGAGCTGGGAGCTGAGGGAGCCCTGGGGGCACCCCCCCCAACCCCGGCCTCTCTGTCTGGGTCTGGCCTCTCTCTGCCCTGAGCCCACCAGCAGCTCTGCTGGCTGCTT